AGCTGCCTCACACCATAGCTCTTGGACATGGGGCTTGTTTCTATTCTGAAACTTGCTTCTGCTCTTCAGAATGACTCGGGGACACCCTAATCTGTGAGACCCACCCAATACAGGGCGGGAATGATTCGTACCAAGCCCTGAACAACCTGAACTGTGGCAAAGGGCGAGGCGAGGCAGCTGTCCCCACGTGAGGACTGAACACATTTGCCAAGGCTTCCAAAGATGGCGCTCTCTCCTCTAGCAAGTCAGAAAGTGCCTGAGCCAGCCAGAACAGCTGAGGCTGCCACCGAAGACCAGGTCCCTGCAGGGAGGCCTGTCCTTACTCTTCTTGGTGTAGGGGCTGGTGGTGGACCCCACGATGACAGTGGTCGCAGGACGGCGGAGACAGCTGGAGGGGTACATGCGTCCTCAATGGCACACACACTGTTTTTGTTGTTCCAGTATTTAGTACTTGGGCCCTCCTTAACAAAGCTGTTTCCATCTCAGGCTTGTGCAGAACATACAACCTTTTTATAAGAATGAAAACAAATGTGCTTAAGAGCACCTGAATGTACTTCAAAACAAATGTGTAAACCAAATTTAAAAAAAAGAGATGAGGATTTGCCAGTCTTGGTGGGAAAAAGAGATTTATCCCCAATTATTTCACTAGCCACTGCATTTTCACATACATCAGATTTCATTTCCCTCACTGCCAGTCTATAGTAGCTGTTCCTAACACTCCTGTTGCCATGGGAACCTCTAGGAGGGGAAATGGGAACCCCCTCAGGTTCCCAGCGTCACATTAGCCTGGTTAATTTGGGGTCACCACACTGGCCACTTCTAACAGCTCAGCTCCTCCCCCAGAGCAGAACTCTGTGCTTGGTCTGCGGAGGTGTTTTTACAGGCCACGGTTGGGCTCATCAAACCATGAACTGATCAAACTGTTCCCCCGAGCACAGAGCAGGGAAGAGATGAGGAGGGGATGTCAGCCAGGATGGGACAGTGTGGCTCTCAGAGACAGTGATGACTAAACAACAAAAAAGGCAAGGCCTTGTCAGTTGCAGCAAGATTGGCTCTGCCTTGCTGGTGAACAAAGCGACTTTCTCCAGCCAGCTCAGGGCCTGCCAGAGCCAGAGCCGGAGCCCTCTGAAGAGGGAGGCAGGCAGGCGGGGCTACCAGGCTTGGATGGCAGGAGACGGCGTGTTTTCAACCCACTGATTTATATTTTATATACTCTTGCTGTTCCCTGAGCGGACTGTGGAGTCAGAATGTGACAGCTGAAAGGGACCTCAGAGTCTGTTTCATCCAGTCCCATCCAGGATGAAATCCATAACCCAGTCTGATCTTGACAGAGCAGCTGAGACCAGGCACTGCGAGAGTGAGGCGCTCATGCCCGACGCGGCTCTCGGGCCCTTCCGTGGACAGCTCAGGTTGGAGGCTGCACTCCGAGTCCCAGCAGCTTCTGTCCACGGGTGGACAATTACCCAGCACGATGACTCCCTCGTCCCCTGCCCTTCTGGGATGGAAACCCCCTCACACCCACCCTTGTCCTGAACCTTCTACACAGGCTGGTCATCATCCCGGGGACCCTTTTCCCTGACCCCCACCCTATTTCCTTGATTCCTACTCAACCTTCAGATCACAATTTCAGCCACACCACCCCCAGGAAGTCTCCCAGACTCCCCACCCTGGGTCCAATGACTCCTCCAGCCTCCTCCAGCCCCTGGACTTCCCTGCTCCCACACATTGCACATGGTCTGTTTCCACTGCTCAGTCACAAGCCCTTCGAGGGTGGACACCTGTCTCGTTTTGAGTCCCAGCGCTGGGCACAGTGTCTGCTGTGAAGGAGCATCGCACTGCTCACTGAAAGAAACCCTCTGGTTTCTCCTCAGATCATATCAATCTTTCGCCTTTTACTAAAGATTTCCATGGAGAGGAACAATTCTGAGTTTTTAGCCAATTTTTTGAGGACTTGCACTTGCAAGGCTTATTACTGAAAAAAATTTAAAAAGAAAGAAAGAAATACAGGTGGCTTTATCCGAAGTGACCACGATTACGCCAGAGAAACCAGGCAGTGGTGGGCGGCCTGGGCAGGGGCTCCCTCCCTGACTCTGGCCTTCCCAACAAGTGGCCACTTCTGCCATTCTTCATGCCAGAGTAGAATCACTTACTGGCGCCACCTTCCCCTGCTAAGCCACGTGGGACTTTGGGCTCCCGAGCCGGGACACCTGGGTCAGGCGATCTGAGAATCTGAGACTGGTACTCCAGAGCTGGCACTGGGGGAACCAGGCAGCGAGGCCACTCATCTTTGTCCCTTACTCTGCAGTTGGCAGCAAGAAGGAACCCAGTCAGGGTCAGACCGCATGGGTTCCACCCCTGGCTCTGTACTTAACCAGCAAGCCCTCAACTGCAGTGCACTGCAGCCTCTCAGCGGTCATCCCTGGGATGGGATGATGGTGACAATGAATACTCAGTTGCAACCTGGAAGTGACAGACAAGCCATAGGAACTGCTGTCGTTAGGAATACCATGGCTGTCACCACTGGTGCCGGCTTAGCTGTTGATGTGCTGGGCGCTGTGTCATGCGCTTTACTAATATCAACACCCTTCACACCACGAGGAGCCCTGGGAGGTAGCTCATAGGATTATCTCTGGGTCACAGATAAAGGAACCAAAGCACAGAGAGCGTAACAATTTTGCCAACAACGACGCATGTAGTGTGGCAGGGCTGGGATTTCATCCCATGAGATTCGACTTTGAGCTCGGACTCTTCACTGCCGTATTAAAAGTCTGTGTTTCCAGAAGAAAAGTCTATTAAAAGTGGTTCTGAAGAAATAACACTGATGACGTGCCCTTCTGGGCCCTCGGCTAACAGCTTTAGGCTGAAATATCCCCAGGAACCATTTTCCACTTGCAGGTGAGTTACCGTGGCTCTGAGGCTCTTGGAGCCAGGTGGGAGAGATCAGGAATACGAGTCAGGGCTGCTCAAATCCAGCCGTTGTCAAGGGCCTCCCCCACCCCAGGGCTGCCTGAGCTCACAGCCCACAGGAATCCCCCCAGAGCAGTGTGGAATGTCCAGGAGAAGACGTAGGAGAGCTGCCTGAGGGCCATCCTGCACTGCATCACCCCATTTCTCAGTCTCTCTCCTCTGGTCCTCCTAGCCCTGGGGTAGCAGGGCACAAATGTGGATAAATGTGAAAGAAACTGACTCGTGGGGAACAGGGGCACTGGGCCTCTAATTTGTGCCATCTCCACACATGAGCATCGGTTCATCTAACCCAGCCACAGCCCGGCTTGACAGGAAGGGGCCTCCCACCACTGCTGTTTCCATCCGACTGCTGCGGAAACAGGCACAGAGTCGCCGAGTGACCCGCCCGACATTGCACCCAGAGCCAGCAGCCCCTGTGCCCAAGTCCAGGGCTTCTGTGGGTTCACTTTTCATACCCCACTCCCCACTTCTCCTTGATATCTGCCTCTGAGTATAGGACGTGCAGGCCCAGCCCGGCAGCTCTCTACCCTGAAAGGCCAAGCCGCGACTTGAGCAGGGAGGCCAGCTCCTAGGGAATTCACACCTGCCTGCCCTGGGCTATAGGGACCAGGAAGGCCGAACTCACTCACTTCCCCACTCTACATTCCCGGGGCATAGCATTTAGCAGTTCAGTCCATCTTTACTGAGTGAGCGAATGAATGAATGAATGAGGGATGAGTCTATGAACAAAGGAACACACACCCCTGCACAGCAGCTGCTGCAGAGGGGAAACAGAATCATCCTTTCGGCTGTGGTTCCAGCCAACCCCACAGTTTCCGATGTCCACGGGCCCCCTGCAGGACCTGTCATCCTAGACTACCCTCTCCTCTGACACCCACAGGAGTAGACCTGCCATTGTTATGGGAGCCCATGGCTGTCTCACGCCAAGGCCAATCCTAACTAACCCTGAGGGGAAGGGCTGGAAAACTCTGGCAGGCTGTGGCCCAGCCTCCATCCAGCAAGAGCCCACTGGAGGAATTTCCCAACTTGGACAGTACCAGGCAGCTAGGGGGCCAGTACGTGACCTGGACAGCCACACAGGGCCCTGGGCTGGGTTTCATACTTGGCTATCATCTCCTTGAAATCCTTGAAAATGTTAAAACCAGGGCCACGTGTTTTCCTGTGCACTGGAAATCACATGGCTGGCCCTGGGGCTGTCCACAGGTATCAGTGTCCCTCTGGTCCTTCTGATGGCCAGAGCGCAGCTCACGTCTGCTTGACACCGGCCCACATTCACCTGCTGACTACTCCTTTGTCCAAGCAGCAAGTGGGCCCGGCGGGGATAAGGGGGTAGACAGGGACACAGTGAGCATCAGATTTAACCACAGAGCTCACGGGAACTTGGGACGGGTTCATCCAAATCGTCACTTTGGAGATGGGAAGCTGAGGTTCAGAGGGAGGGGCCCCAGCAGGACATGCAGAGATCGCCCCCCGCCGCCAGGGCCTGGTGGCTGTATCACGTCTCTGGCTCTGCTCCATGGCAGGGCCTGCTCCTGGCTAAGACAGCCAGCTGAGGGATCTCTCCCTGAGAAGGGAAAGCCCTCAAGTCCACACTCAGCTCAAGGAGAGACCCTCAGGCGGGCAGAAGAGCACCCACCTGGATCACCGCCAGCCCACCTCTCACCTTCACTGCACAATTCAATCCCAAGCCCAAGTGATGAGTCGCTGCCTTAAGGGACTGGCAGCAGGCTCTCTGCTCTTCAATGAGCCCATTAAACTCACTATTCTAGAGCTCCTGCAGGGGCTCGAGGTAATGGCTCCGCAGCTGGAGAAAGCCACAGCCAACCAGCCAAGACCCATAAGTGGCATTAACAGATCTCTCTGTTGCTCTGGGGAGGGGCTGGTATCGCAGGGGCCTCGGCTCCCAGGGCCCATGGAGGCCAGGAGCAAAACGGTTCATGTTTTCACCTGCAAAAGGCATTAACTGAGATTTCCCTGTTTTCTTTACCAGCCTGCCCCAGCAGAGCTGGCCCTTCTCAGACAGATTAAAATAAGCCAGGGAGGATGTGATGTGGAGGGACAACCCTGGGTCAGTTAGTTAAATGCTCTGAGTCTCAGTGTCCTCGTCTGTAAAATGGAACTGATTCCAGCAGCTCCTCAGAAGGCTGCTGGGAGAATAAGTCCAACTCTTCCCTTGCCCATCACACAAGTCCCAGAATCACGAAACAGATGCCCTGCCTCCAGCAGGTGGTGTAGCGGTTAAGGAGCTGGACTCCCACATGGCTGACTGGTTCAAGTCCAGATCTGGAGGCTTGGAATTCATGCTGGGCACATGTGCATGCATGCCCCAAATCCTGAAAGGAGAATGGAGAAGGGATTGCAGCATGGCTATCCTCTCAGGGGGTGATTTCTCACTTTCTCTCCCCTTCTCTCCAGTGAGTACATGCACCCTATAGCAAAAAATCTCCCTCTAAAAAACAAACAAACAAACAAAACACAGATGCCCCAAGGCTGAGCCCCTTCCTTCTCAGTGGCCGCTGGCTCACTTTCAGACCCATATGGGTCTTGGTTCTGTAAACTCGAAGAGCTGCTCCCTTCCAAATTTCAGAACCCATGGTTTTAGCCTATGAGAACTTGAATTTCAGATGTAATCGCTATGGACTAGTTCACCAAGTCCTTTCTCAGACTCACCCCCGGTGTCTACCCACGAGGTCAGCTATGTGCATAATCCTGGGGGCAGATGTTACCAAGACATCATCATTGAGGGGAACACAGGCACGTCCTGTGAAATCCTGAGCCTGCTTCCTCCTGTCACCACTCAGCGGGGTCTGATTATCAAAACAGTGACTCAAGGTACCTTTTCTTCACAGAAAGATACGCACCGAGTTTTTGTGAGCCAGTTTGAACCCCAGCCTCTGCATGAGTGCTTCATTTCCCCAAACCCCATCTTTTACCAAGGTCACTACTGAAGAGTACTCATCACTGCCTCCTCAGACATGCCTATCTGAGCACGAGAAACAAGAGCCATCACAACCCACCTCCAAGTTGAGGCCCCGAGCCTTTAACACTCCCAATGGGAAGTGATTTGGGAGCAGTCTTACACCTGTTTGCCTTGGTAGGCCTGAAACATAATAGAAATAAAGGAATACTTGGGCTCAGTTCAACAGTCAATCAATAAACAGATGGCAAGGAAGAAACAAAGGAAGAGATAAACATGAACTTAAGTGTTAATTGTGATTCCAAATCAACATCCCATTGGAAAAAGGGAACTCTTAGCGTAGGCTCTCGATACTCTGAAGGCCCCTCTACATCATTAATATCCTCCCAGCCAAGATGGACAACCTGCTCTTGGCATGGTCTAGCCCGGGGCTTCACTCCTCACAGTGTGGTCTGGGACTCCAAAATGTATGGCCTTCTCACATACGAAATATATTTACTCCACCTTAATTGTCCCCAAACCTTACCTTGCCCCAGCATCAACTCAAAAGTCCCAAGTCCAGAGTCTCAACTTATTCAGGTGGGATTTAGGTGGGACTCAAGGCACAGATGATCCTAAAACAAATTCCCTCCAGCTATAAATCTGTGAAATCAAACAAGCTATGTGCTTCCAAAATACAACTGTGAGACAGCCACAGGATAGACATTTCCCTTCTAAAAGGGAGAACTAGGGAAGAAGAAAGGCGTGATGGGCCTCAGGTAGGTACAAAACCCAACAGGGAAAACAACATTAATTCTTAAAGCAGGAAGATAATCCCCACTGACTCTATGTCCCGTATCTTAGGCATACTGGGACAGGGGTTAGGGCCCCAAGCCTCAGATAGTACCATCCCCATGGCTTTGCTGGACTCTCACAAGTTGGAGTCTCATTCCTAGAGAATGAGGTATAGAAATGATGAGAGGTGGCCCACATTTCCAAAGCTAGAGTTGTACGCTGGTTGCCCTATAATTCTGAGGTTTCTGAGGCTGGATCACTCTCCTAGAGGCATTGCCTAGAGGGGACTCTCTGTGATGGCTCTCACCT